CTAGTATATGCTACACAGCGAATGATGCTTACCTCTAGTATATGCTACACAGCGAATGATGCTTACCTCTAGTATATGCTACCTGGTGAATGATGCTTACTGCTAGTATATGCTACCTGGTGAATGATGCTTACCTTTAGTATATGCTACCTGGTGAATGATGCCTACCTTTAGTGTATGCTACCTGGTAAATAATGCTTATGGCTAGTATATGCTACATGGTGAATGATGCTTACCTCTAGTATATGCTACCTGGTGAATGATGCTTACTGCTAGTATATGCTACCTGGTGAATGATGCTTACCTTTAGTATATGCTACCTGGTGAATGATGCCTACCTTTAGTGTATGCTACCTGGTAAATAATGCTTATGGCTAGTATATGCTACCTGGTGAATGATGCTTACCTCTAGTATGTGCTGCAGGAAGCGTGGGCGTATGAGCAGCGATGTGAGCGTGTGCGTGAGCACCTGCACGGCATGCAGCGTGCCGCCCTGCTGCTCCGGCATCTCGAGCTGCCACTGCCGCGAGTAACGCGACAGCTGCTCAACAAACACGCACGCCGCCTCCGCCTCGAGCAGTGCCTCCACCTGGTGGCTACAGTAGAGCTGCTCCATGCTCTGCAAACAAACGTGGCCACCGCGTTATGCGCGCCTGCTCGTCTATAGGCGGGGACATCGTGCAGGGGGGTCGCTGCTAACTCTGGGGCCCGTTGTCAGAAACATCATAAATAATTATGAAATCGTGCAAGACTTCGTGTGCACAAGTTGTGACCTACTAGCCTTGTGACGTCGCAACTATTTATGACATCTTAGACAATGGGCCGCTGTTTGCCACTGCAGTAGGCACATCATCACTACCCACCTTGACTCAGCAAATAATAACTGTTATAAATAATAATAACGGAATGGCACGATGCATAAAAGACCTTGCTGCAATGTTTTCATGTATTTCACTGGCTGCAGAGACCATAAAAAAATGTGTTAAAACAATCTTCTGAATGACAAAGTCTCTGTTTGTTCTGGTAAAACATGGTAGCTCGCACTGATTTTTAATCTGTGATATATTTTTAGGATTCAATACAACATCAACATGGAAATCGACATAAAGTGTGGTTGCCTTCATACGGACAACATTACGCTGCCAACAGTTACTAAGCAACATCGCTCACCTGTTTGATACAGTCCTGATGAACACCTATGAAGCTCAGTGCGTCAGGCAGGAAGGAGTACTTGAGTATGGCTAGCATGTTTGCATACAGATAGAGGCCAAGTCTGTACACTACACTCCAGCTTCCCTGTTTCTGCAACAGCGAATCAAATGCCTTTTTGAACAACTGCCATTAAATACTGACCTCGCATTTCAGCGCGCACCACTAAAGCAGGAGCAGTCGCGCACTCACCTCGTGCTGCTTGTCTCTGTTGACGTAGGTCGCCAGCAGAGGGAGGCACAGGTGCTCGGTGAGACCACTGCTGGCAAGGCTACTGGCTGCGCGTGGCACGCGGCACAACGTCAGCAGCAGCTCCATGATGGCCTGCACCTGTTCTTCACGCTCACGCCTCTGCAAAGACAGCGACGAACCATTCGGCTTGCACGTAAAGCAACTATATGTCGATCATAACTATACATTCATTTAATTATTGATATAATGATGAAGGGAGTCAGAACGTGGAAGAAGAATAAAAAGAAGAAATATTATATAGTATATCTAACAGTAAACTAAATTTATAAATATTTCATCATTTATATATAACCTCAGTTCCCATTGCGATGGTTTAAGCGATGATTTCGAATGGGTTTTAAATATCTCATCTTATCGACCTTGTGTGTAGTTTTTTTTTTATTCATGAAGACTAGAAGACTATAGCATACTATAGCCTGGATGGATATGAAATGCTGAAATGGTGAATATGCAATGCTGAAATGGTGATACAATTTGACACAAGTTTGTAAATTACATATTTGGGTGAGGCAAAGCCAAGCCGCTTGGCCTGTGGACTACTGCCATGAAACACACACAATAGTGCTCACCTGCATGCCATTGGCGGCAGCGATGAGTAGCAGAGGTAGCATGGAGTGTTCCTGCAAACCTACGACCCACGTGCGAGCCTGCTCGCTAGTATATGCTATCAGCTCCTTCAGCAAACAGATGTTCACCGTTCGCAGCTGCAACAATAGACAACAACGGTGATGGGCTTTACACTTCATATATATATGTATATATTATGTTATACATATGCTGTATATTGTTATATATTATGTATATGTTACTTATATATTATGCGTATGTTATTAACTTCCGCAACAAGCAAACAATGGCCTGTTGGAACTGACCTTATTTGCTTTTTAAGCAGACACTAGAATCACCGAGTGAGACAAGCACAGCTTAGTTAGGGACGACAATGATCAAACGCCATCACAGACGAGGAGTACATCCAATTGATTTTTCATTGTATATCTCACGTAATAACTTGTAATAAAATGGCACCGCATTCCTGTATAGTAAAGCCACTAGTCCACAACTTCCTCTTTTTATCTTACCCTTGAATAGGACTTATATACAGATTTGACGTTACGTTCAGCTGTATACAGCTAGAAAGAACACAATATATAAATAATTAAATAATTAATAATAGTTTTACAATTAAATATATAATTAACGATATATTACATTATATTAATTTGTTCTACCTTAGTGTAGACCTCGCTCTGATCGCTCTGTCGCATGTTGTACTGCAGTATGGCGTAGACGTCTGGCATCGCGTCCACCAGGTTGCTCGCCTCCTGTTCACGATCCCGCTTGGGGAGGTTGCGCACGACCGTTGCCATGGTTGCGAGCAGTGCAAGCTGTATCTTGGGATGCAGGTGTGCGATGATGACCCTCATCTCGTGGAGGATGCTGCCGAGGCTGCCCATCACGGCCTGCTGCGCCGATACATTTCTGCACAACGATGTTATCAATGCTATTATAATGTATAACTGTACAGTTTTTTAATCAATTTAAAAAGGAAGTTCAAAGTTCGAGAGTTACGAGTATAGTTCGTTAGAGTTTCCTATATTAATTTATCTATCCACCTCGCATGATCGATAGGCAGCTCTAGCATACCATCGTTGCGATCAGACATTCTAAAAACAATGCTCAGTAACGAAGTCTACATAGTTACATGAAAACTTGCACGTACAGATACAAAACTGGGTGAGTTTGACAGACCTATCAACAATATACAAGAGGTGTCCTTATCTTGCTTAGACAGGTAACTCAATAAAATTTGAATTGTTTGGAATGAACTATGGAGAGAACACTACCGTTACCTTGACCAGCGGACAATGAGACAGACTGATATCTCGCTGAGAATTTTTGTGACAGCCACCCGCTTGCCGTCATCTGACAGTCGAGCATGTACCGACTCCAACACATCACTCAGCAGTGATCCTTTCAGCTTGTCTGGTAATTGAACACATTCCTCCTAGCAGAAAGAGCGAAAAGTCCTTATAGCATGTCAGAGCTAATGAAGTGTACCCTTAGCAAAAATCATTGATATTGGTTTGAAAGACTGGTCTTGAATTGTAACAGTGATAATGAATGGTGGCAAGCTGAACTCGTCAAAAGGAGTTTGGCAGCAAATGTGATGTGATAGACGCAGAAAAGAGGAAAATGGAAAGAGCAACAAGAGAAAGAAGGATGGCGATCAAGAGAGCGAGTTGGATCAAATCAGTGAACGCTGTGAGGCCTATGAGTGAACTGTTGATAAATGCACTGTTACCCGAGCCAATATTAATAAAAGGTCTCGCCACGCAGTCAACAGAAGTAATGGACTTTGGTCATCTGGTTTGCCTGCCTCGTCAACACTCTGGCTGCTCTGTATAAACTTGGACCAGAATGACAATCGATTGTCCTTGATCAGTGTCTTCATGATCTCATAGAGTTCCTTATCCAGTTTGTCATAGCTACAATTAAACGGTCTGATGAGCACTGGGATCAGTAATATTAGCAGTAATATACACTCCTGATATTATCACATACATTCAAACCTGTACATACGGGCCACTCAAGGACAATGCAAAAAATGCATGACCTTTATGGACAGGTGCCTGTTCTATAGAGGTGGTTTCACTAAATAGCTGCTACTAAAGAGCAACACCAATCAACATCAAGTGAATTTAGATGTCTAATATGATATATCCAGAAGACTGACACAAAAATATACCAAGAGTTTCCAATCACCAAGCAATCAGTACCTTATATATTATTCAAATCAAATTTCTGATGAAACATGAAGTTCCGAGTTGACATTGCTAACAACTATCAGTATGTCTACCCCAAGACGATAACATGCTAATGAATTAAACAAAGCTGCGGTGAACTAGTATACCAGGGGTACTAGAAATGTACTTGGCTAACGCATTTTAGTGCAGGGAAAGTACAAGGTCAGTCTCACCTCTGTACACTGTACATCTCTGCAGCCACGGTGCGCATAACATATGCACATGTCTTCACGTGACTTGACACTGAATCTAACATTAAGTAGCTGCAGAGGTCTGTCCAGAACTTCTTCCTGAAACGTAATACTGCCAACGTCAGTAAAAGCAACAGTAATTTATTATTGGCCTAGCCGTCCTGAGTTATCTCTCTCTCTCTCTCTCTCTCTCTACTCGTACTCGTACGTCGTACCGTACGTACTTCCCGTCCTTCGGTACGTACGTAGACCGTAGTAACTTATTAACTTACTTAATTATT